ACATTTTTGTTACAACGACGACAATCTGAATATTTTTATTATCTCAATATATATATATATATATATATATATATATATACTTTTAAGTAGGAAACTAAGAATGCAACTTCTCTATGTGTGACTTCTTTCGTTGTCGCATGGTGTACATACGCATGTACCACAACATTTCTTACATGATTTCCAGCTTGGATAAACACACATTTAGTTGAGACATGTTTGCCGTTTCTTCTCTTTCATATCTAAGTCCACTGAAAGGAGTGAAAAATAAAGAGAAATATGGCGAACTGAAAAAGTGTCTTCGATGATTCTTCATTATTATTCCCACTACATCTACGAGCGTATAAATACGATCATACGCTGTTGAGCGAAATAAGTTTTTAGAAAAATGATTATCAGTGACAAGCTTGTTGAGGTTTAACTTTTAGATGATTACGTTCCAGGGTTTTCACTATTCCATCTGTGTTGTAGTAATGTGTAGCGGTAAACAAATCCTTCGAATAAATAGTTTTCCAAGTCTCTGTTCATCAGTGATATCTTGATAATAAATCCGACTGATGAACAGGACTCTTCGTTAACCATATTCAAAGCACTAAGTGCATACTTTCCTGACACTAGTGAACTATATAATTTAAAACGTTTGTCACAATATCATGTCACTGATAGTCCCAATAATCAAAATCATAAATTACCATCTGTGGGTGAGAACTTTTCATTCACATTTCTATCGTCCATTTTCTGTGGGTTTATTTGACCAAAGACGTAGCGAAAATACACTGCTCGATAGGGTTGTTATTTGAAACACTTTGAAATACTTTGATTGGGGTCTTAAGGCCAGTCAAATCAGATCTCAGGAATAAAGGGGTATGAAGACATATTTTAAATATTGCTGGTACATAGAGAATTATATAATTTAAGCTAAGTAATTGCTGTATCTATTTGCTCGTCGTTTACATACAGAGAAAATATAATTTGAGCCCTAATACCTAGTATTATAATCACTAACTTCTGTACTACTGGAGCGCTCCATAATTACATTCTTAGTTATGCTGAAAATAACACAAAAGCTAGCTCAAGATGTTTCCATGGATCGCTCAATATTATCGTAAGGTTTGTTCGGACCGTTAAAGATACGCACCGGAATTAGTGATCGTATGCAAAATTTTACTCTTCAAAAATAAAAGTTTATCTAAAAGTTTTCTATGGCAAAGTACTGTAGTAAGTTGTAGGATGAGAGTACTATCAGAGAGATAAATTATTGACAAATATGAACCAAAATATTGGATTTTAGAGGAAGATTTTTGTTGGTAAAGGTACCTAACGTTCTTTCTTTTTAGGTATCCGACGAAACCATTAGTAGACCTTCGTCAATAATACACACAATGGATCTCACATCTCTAGGTACTGGCCGATTGTGTTGAGACTCAACTCTCCTGTTCTTTTGATTGCTCAGTGTTAAAGTATGCACATTATATGGAGCCACATACATTCCTTTACAGCTTAACCAGTACCCTGTGACATCTGGTGTCATACGTGATATGACACGTAAGTATTAATTAAAACTGTACAATGAAAACGATCCATAGCTTACTGTTCGTTATGTCCAGTTTGCACCAACTGATACAAATAAGCTGTTACCAAGGTGTCTCGTGAATACGTACGACTGTCAGACTACGCATGAAAGTGAACTTATCTTCTTATGAAATGTCCGGCTAGCGTGGAAAGGGCGGAGCACTATGTTGAATTGTCTGCACATAATGCTGACAGCCATTATCTTCCTCCGGACACAGCCCATGACAAAGCACTCTGTATGTAATGTACCTTTCATAACGTTAGTAAGTATATCTCAAATCCATACGACAAGTACATTCAATTCTTCCCTTGTCCACACAGACATAATAAGACATGTATATCCACATTATCAGTTGAAACGAACTGGAACAGTATGTTTTGACATATTTATGGACCAGAGTTCTCATCTTTCGTTATTAGTGCTATACATGGAGTCAGTGGAAGATAAAACCAGAAAGCTTTTATAGACTTCTACTCGTTCTCGAACCGAAGAGAGTACTCTCAATAAACTTTGGTTTTCCAAGTAAAACTCTAGAAACATTCCATTTATGCATGGTACACTGAGTACATCAAACAGAGTGGGACGAGCTAAAAAAACAAATCTTTGCGCACTTATCTGGAACGATTTTGAACTGCATGTTCACATACACTTCTTTGTGTAACCCTTTCTCAACTACTTCAACTGTCTTAACTAATTTAGAAGATATTACGAGTGTGGGTTTCAAGAATTTTTTCTCAATTGACAAACGCATATACTGTTGGAGATGCCAAAGGTATTTGGAGTTTGACAACACTTTAACCAGTAACACCTTCTTATATGAATCGTACCCACCAAGTGAAATCAAAAGACAGAAGCGAGGATGTTCGAAAATATATTTGATAGGCTATCAATTTATCGAGGATCGTCTGATCTAATCTGGCTAGCGATTGCAAGGTTCCAACCATTTTATGATTTACTCAATGGAGAAGGAACTACAATGGAGAGCAACTGGAAGGGGATCAAAGAAGTAATCACTCCAATATGCCATGAGGTCCTAGGCCACAAGAAGCACCAATGTTGATACACTAGATAAGATTCAAGAAAGGAGGAACAAGAAGTCAGTAATCAATACCAGCCGAACAAAAGCAGAAAAAGCTAAGGCACAAGCTGAATACACAGAAATAAACACGCAAGTGAAGAGGAGCAATAGAAGTGACAAACGTAACTATGTGGAAGATCTGACAACGATCGTTGAGAAGGCTGCAAGAGGAAACATGAGGCAACTGTATGACACGACAAAGAAACTCGCTGGGAATCACTGTAAACCGGACCGAACAGTGAAAAGCAAGGAATGCAAGGTAAGCATCAACACTGAACAGCAACGAAACAGGTGGGTAGAACACTTCAAAGAACTCTTGAATCGACCAGCCCCACTGAACCCACCGAACATCGAAGCAGCATCCACGGACCTCTTAATCGATGTTGGCCCACCAACAATTGAAGAGATAAGCATGGCCATCAGACAAATCAAGAATGGCAAAGCAGCAGGACCAGACAACATTCCAGCAGAGGCACTGAAAGCAGACGTGGCGGCAACTGCACGGATACTCCACATTCTCTTCAGCAAGATTTGGGATGAAGAATGAGTACCGACATACTGAAAAGGAGGAGTTCTGGTCAAAATACCGAAGAAAGGCGATCTCAGCAAGTGTGATAACTACAGGGGCATCACTCTTCTCTCAATACCGGGAAAAGTCTTCAACAGAGTATTGTTAAACAGGATGAAGGACTGCGTAGACGTCCAACTTTGCGACCAACAGGCAGGATTCCGTAAGGATAGATCGTGTACAGACCAAATCGCAACTCTACGGATCATTGTGGAACAATCAATTGAATGGAATTCATCACTCTACATCAACTTCATTGACTACGAAAAGGCATTTGATAGCGTGGACAGAACAACACTATGGAAACTTCTTCGACACTACGGCGTGCCTCAGAAGATAGTCAATATCATACAGAACTCATATGATGGATTACACTGCAAAATCGTGCATGGAGGACAGTTGACAAAGTCATTCGAAGTGAAGACCGGTGTTAGGCAAGGTTGCTTACTCTCACCCTTTCTCTTTCTCCTGGTGATCGACTGGACCATGAAAACGTCAACGTCCGAAGGAAAGCGCGGGATACAATGGACATCTAAGATGCAGTTGGATGATCTAGACTTCGCAGACGATCTGGCCTTTCTATCCCAAACGCAACAACAGATGCAGGTAAAGACAAACAGTGTGGCAGCAGTCTCAGCAGCAATAGGTCTCAATATACACAAAGGGAAAAGCAGGATTCTCCGATACAACACAGAATGCACCAATCCAATCATAATTGACGGAGAAGATTTGGAAGATGTGAAAACTTTTACGTATTTGGGCAGCATCATTGATGAACAGGGTGGATCTGATGCAGATGTGAAGGCGCGGATCGGCAAAGCAAGAGCAGCATATTTACAACTGAGGAACATCTGGAACTCAAAACAACTGTCAACCAACACCAAGGTAAGGATTTTCAATACAAATGTCAAGACAGTTCTACTGTATGGGGCAGAAACCTGGAGAACTACAAAAGCCATCATCCAGAAGATACAGGTGTTTATTAACAGTTGTCTACGCAAAATACTTCGGATCCGTTGGCCGGACATTAGTAGCAACGACCAACTGTGGGAAAGAACAAACCAGATCTCAGTGGAGGAAGAAATTAAGAAGAAGGCCCAGGACAGAGTGGGTTGGAGAATGCTTGTCGGCGGCCTATACTCCATTAGGAGTAACAGGCGTAAGTAAGTGAGTAAGTATACTACTAAGCTTTCCGAATGGCTGTGAACAATCTCAAATGACCTCATAGCGTTTTCTCCATAACGTAAGGTCACTCGAGGGATTGAGCTACTACCATGAAATTTAGACCCGCACTACTACATAAGATTTAAGAGCCTTAGGGCTTACTGAAAATGCCAATTCCTTGTGGTATTTTTACATCACGCATGAACATATAGGCAGTAAGTGGGTTTTCCAATTTGTACGAGGAAGAAGGGAGTAAATCCTGCCTGAATTTATTATAACTATACTCTTGTAACGAGTTAACGATTTTGTAAGACACTTTCGTACATCCTATAACAAGAACTGAGATAGGATTGTTTGGCGAAAAGTATCGGTTAGGTCGGTCGAAATCCCCTCAGAAGTACTTAACACAGTACTAATATTGAATGAATGGAGATAAAATTGGGGTGGTCACAAAAAAATGAAATATACATGCTCACTTCCTGTTTGTCGTCGGTCGATAATTAAAAAGAGATGAAAGGTGGACAAAAACAATATGATATACATGACTGCATGTCATTCTGAATTTTTTGAAACATATAGATCTTTTGAAGACACACATATAATTAAGTTGAGCCAGTGTAAACAAACCCCACTGATCTGAGCTACTTCAGATATGAAATGACCGCCTTGAGACAAACCCATTAGGGTCGCTGAAACGAAAGAGGGGTAATTTCAATTGCAAGCTAGCTAATGCTCTTGAGAAGAGCTAGTCCTGGTTCTCCTCTGTTTCCATCGTGCAAATCGCGCACCTTTATTCAAAATATTGGTATGCAAACGTAGTTACGACCTGTTCACAGGTCTCTTGGTGACAGAAGACCCGAAAACGCCATCCAAAGAGAACTTAATTAATCAAGATGGGCATCAAGAACATGTGTAAATTAGCTGGAAAGTCAGGGAAAATGATCGAGCATTATAGTAAATTTACTCCGGTTTCGTTGAGTTTGAAAAACCTTTTATCATTTGGTAATTTGAAGTAGACTTATCTTACACTGCGATTTCTCAAGGTGAAACTGCGCCGGCCTCTAAGTCCTTCGATTTTCTGAAATATGAACTCCCAGTTCGGCTAGGGAACATTATGCAGGAGATCCATCTCCTGCCCGATATCTTAAGAAGGTCAAAACCTGTCCAACAGATATGTTTATTGTAAGGTCGGCTCTTCTGCTTGTCATTTAAACAGGTATGAGGAGACATTCAATAGCCTTATCAAGTATGAAGAATGTTCGACAAAATCGCCTTCTACCTTATCCAGATTTACAGATGATATTGACCTTATCTTACAGAAGCATTCGGGCGTAGTTGAAATAATGGCATTGGTAAGCTCATTACATTTGGTCTTATGGTACAGGGTATCAAAGAAATCCAAAGTAATGAATCGTGGTCCGAGTCACAAGAGTTGCAACTACAGTATTTTCTGGATCGGTTTTACGTGAGTAGAATTGGTATCCGAACTTTACTTAATCAGCATTGTAAGTTTATATCATTCACGTAGTAGATAAATTACAAGTGTGTTTCTGTCACCCATCATTTGGAAGTATTTGGTTTTATGCCTGGAGATGAGTATTGATTGTTGGGTTTCGCCCACTAACGTCAATTATGGCGAGATATTCGCTTGTTAACTGAAAGATGAGTTTACTGCTCATCAGTCCCCCCTCTCAATAGCGCAAGTGCATTCACTCTTTTTCTTCCCTCATACCCTAAGTTTATAAAATCAAGCGCTTACTCTTTACTTCATTAATCTACATTTTTTCCGAGTTGTATTTTGGATGCCTTATTTTTTTCACTACCGTTGTTACTGTTACTGCATCTACTACTCTGGGATTTGTTCTAACAATCTCATCTCGCTGTGCTAATGATGTGTGACGACTAACCAGTATACTAATTCGTCAGCTCCTACCTTGCGTTTGACTGATTGATGGTTTGTTTACATTCTGGAAAACTAGTCAGCACAACTAATCCTGGTGTATTAAGTGTTAACCGAGAATTTTACACATGAATATGTACTCTGAAGTTGACAGCTACACGTATCTTTTCTCATTTTTAAGATCCTTATTTCTTGTCATAACCGTTTCTGAATTACGTTGCTTAAAAATGCACTCCCAAATTATAGATGTATTTTTACTGATATGATCAATTCTAGATTGCCAAAATGTTTATTGTTAGGGGGACTATTTATGGGCCAAGTTGGTCCTCGTGCTCACTTGATAATCCTATATGGAGATCGCAGCTGGTAATCTTTTGCTTGTACTGATTAGTTGCTCTCTCTCTCTCTCTCTCTCTCTATATATATATATATATATATATATATATATATATATATATATATATATATATATATTGTCCACTGTAAGGATGATCTCAGTTTACTCACCAGTTCGACAAGTTTGTTACCTGTGACATTAGATTTCTGCACTGAATTTCAGGACAAGAGTTTGCTATCGTTTTGAAACTCGCTAAATGAAAATCTAAATGTGATAAGTGGTTCAAAAAGCAGTTTTTTACTAGCAAACATTCGTGAATTTTTGTTCATATAAAGTTACAATTGGACGTTTAAGCTTGGATTATTCTATACTAATGTAGCCTGAAATACAAGCTTGTTGTATGTCAGCGATTTAACATTGGTTTTTAGTGATCTCAACTCAGTAAAAATTTATTGGCTCTAACATTTGTAAATTAAAACTTCAGTGTTTTCTCGTAGAATAGTTGAGTGAAGCATATTAATTTGTATTAAGTCTTACCTAACTGGTATGTTGAATGTGATGTTTCCAGCGTATATACTAATGAAAATCATTTCGAGATATTTGTTAGTATCATTATTATAAGGATGTTCCTATGGTCTTGTTTTGCACATGTATTTTTTACGTACCGAACTCTGACCATTACAGTCAAGCTATATGGACCCACATTCTGCAACGTACAATCTCACGTTGGGGGTATCGACCCGGATTGTAGCCCAGTCCAAATCGCAGTAAATGCATACAATTATTCCAGACCACTGTGTATTCAGGCGTATGGTCGTGCGCCGGGTTGTGACATTGAAATCCACGATTGTGTAAATAAAGAGCGTGCATCTGGTAGTTTCAACAAAATTGATTTTTGTGTGGATGCAGCTGGTCATGCGTCGACCAAATCTTATCTTTTGGACAACCAAAGGAATTGTGCGGATTTGTCTGTGAAGGGGAAAGATATAACATTTTGTTATATACCTGGTCATTTGTTTTATATATTGTATGAATTGTTGAAAAATTCGATGAGAGCTGTTACTGAGAGCCATAATAATGATGCTCACTTGCCAAGAATACATATTCTTATATGCAACGGACCTGAAGATATCGTTATTAAGGTGAGAAGTTCAGCTTGATTTTAGTGTACTATTTTTAACTCATAGTGCCACCACGTCATGTTTTTGTGGTTATTTCTAATTAGATTTATTTAATAAAGTATATTCAGAAATTCCAGTTTAGCAATCTTCAATTTTAAATCGCTTCTGATCACTGAGCTTGATAAGAACAATTTTCTAAGGTTTTTGGCTGATTTAGGATGTTATTCATAACCATTTAAGTAAGAGTCGCCGGAGAATGTTCATAAAACCAGTCTTACATGTCAACCACAGGCATAAATTTGCATCGGCAACAGTTTCCACAACACAACTCAGTATAATAAAAGGAAATTAACACGTTAAATAGCAAAGATGTTCAAGGGACAATAATACAAACCCTAGTAAAATGACTAAATAGATAAATTTATTCTAAAAAGGGAAGTAAAATTAATAAACAAATTGTTTAAAAGAGTATCGAGAAAATCTAAATGTAGGGGAAGTGAGCATATTTTCGTCACTGCTAATGATTTCGATTTGTCATCTAAGGTTTTTAACCGATATACTTTGTCTCATGGGCTCCAATCAGGTAGTCAACATCCTCACACTGCTCGAATCAAGATTTCATAACTGTATGAACTGATACTACATCTTCGTCTGACGTCTCCTAGCTTTCTTTTAACTTGCCCCTATGTCAGCGATGATTGCGCATTGAGTTAGTTTGTAAGAGACTCAAATATCGATATTGCTTGTGAGTAACTAAAAAACAATCAACTGAGTTGCTTGAAAAGTAAACTAGGAAATGTCATATATAGAATGTCTGAACTGTTTAAGAAAATTAAACATTTTTTGGATATATTGCGAATAGGACAATCGTGTTCCATGTACTCATTTCTATCATCCCTAGTTTTTTTCAGCTGGTTTTGTGTCGCTTTTCATGTACTGTTACAATTCATTCTCATTATTCCGAAACTGTTAATGTTATATTTTAATATATCGAATGTAACTTGTTTACCAGTGTTATAGTTTCTCTCGTTACGGTCCAGCAACTATTGCTTAGTATTTTTGGACACTGCTTCACTCGACAAGGCCCCAAATCAGAAAACGGTTGAACAGAAACGTAATTATATTCCAAATAAAAAGGTTGGATGGAATCAGGCGTCACAATAACAGAAACGTTAGTATATTTATAGTTTTTACATGAGAGTATCCATTAGCGCTGATCGCATAAGAAACAGTCAATCTGCGTGCCCCAACATAATCCCGTACGGGATGTGCTTTAATCCAATCTATATTCTGCTAACAATCAGTCAGAGATGATCTTAATGACAAGTTGCTGTATGCACGTCTCATACGAACGAAGCCCTTGTTTAATAATGTTATGATTATCTTTTAGCAAGAAAAATTTTCAATTCGTTTCTGCATATACAAAGTTCACCACATCTCAGTAACTTTATGTTATAACTTGTGGCATGTGCACCCTGCTAATGTATAACGTAACGATACCGCCAATTAGAGAGCTGTGATTTATCGATCGGACCAGTAACGCATAAACCCGTACGAGCAGTCTAGAGTCCTTATTGGTCCTGCTTCCTACCTAGCCCAGCCAGTCAAGTCCAGAACACCAATCTCAGACTCTGCAATATGAATCATTTATTTCAAGCATACTCGGTTTATATACCAACCAGAGACCACATCGTATCAATAAAATAGGAAACAACATTTATACAAGATTTGGCCAAATGTGGCTGTGAATGTGAGAGGTAGTAATTAATAGACAGGGCATAATTTAAGAATGGTAAATCGTAGAATAATAGTTCATAGGTCAAAATAAGGCTCATAATAAGAGGGACATGAATATGAACAGTTTATTTATTTAACAATTATACGATAAAAGTATACGCACAGTATTGGTCCATAAATGGATCCCAAAGTTACCATTCATTATGCTTATCGGGGCATAACACTTTAATCCCTTATGGTATTGTCAACTTGATAGCCCATTTTTCTGTTTTATTTTTGCTACACGTTTCTGGTTTATCTAATTTGTACACCAATTATATAGTTGTATAAGTTATTATACCTTCTCATACCTAAGCCAGTATAAATGGTCAGGACTGGAATTACTACATATTTGAGCTTTCTACGTAACCTGCTTCACACAGTTAGATATCCTCACCACTCATACATTTGTTGTAAGTCACGGCTTCGGGCACAAACTTGCAATTGACTGATGAAATGATTTAAGTTTATTAACAGGTACTTTATCGGTCCTTACACTTATGGTGCACTTATCAAGCGACTCCTAATTCTTGGTTTGTATTACTTGAAAATAATCCGAAGTTTTGTACTTAATCCAACAACAAACAATGATATTCAAAGATTATTTCTTTGTGAGTACCAAGAGCCTTCATTAACTTGAAGAGCCATTAGAAGATACCAAACTATTTGCAGTTTCTGTTTATGTACATAGTGATAACAGTTTAGATTATACGAAGGATAATCTTCACAAATGTGTAGAGCTTGCTTTAAACAACAAATTACACTGTTCCCATCATGGGAACCTTCTTTAACCCTCAAAATAAACATAGCTTTGCTTCAATACATTCTGATTCATGTTATCAAATTCCACAATAATACCGGAGAATAAAATAAAGAATGAAACTGTCTTCATAAGAGGATCATTGATGAATGCAAAAGAAATGGACATAGGCCAATAAGATAAATGGGTGGAAACGTTTGTATTTGATAGTATAGTTTAGATGGTTCATTTGAATTACTGGTAACTGATTTATGCTAGATAATCATCTATCATGTCTTTGACACATTAATCGATAATGTCACATACAGCTTCTGGCATTATCGCGCTAAAGGCGTTATATCACTCTTCAGTGATCAAAGAATGAAGTCCACAGAACTCGAAAATAAGTGTGAAAAGCATATGAGCAAGTTTGAAGTAATGTGACTGCAATCGATTATAGTCACTTTACGCCTCTAATTACCAAGATTTAGCATACTTGAGACTTCATCTGGGATCCCTATGCTTTTTCATTCATCTTGGATCAACAACTAGTGGCCTAAGAGATTGCATCTAACACTACAGTTTTTTTCACTTTACTCACACCTTGTCTATAACAATATATCAGGGTAAGTCTTAGCTATTCACTTCAGCTCATGTAAATTGTCCACCTTTGTTTATAAGTTGGGATCTTCAATATCTGCAATTCGTCTGTTAGACCAAATGTGAGTAATATTTTTTTACACATGAGTAGAAAAATGTGTGTAGCTTTTTGTTTTGGTATAACAGATCTTTATTGTGCATTTGGTCAAAATGTATGCACTGTTGTCGTAATATGCGGTTAGGTATTTCTCTCTCGACCGTAGCTGCTACCTTGACGCGGTGGTCGGGCTTGCCTATCGTGATGACCCACCCGAGCTATATTGGCTGGAACATATGTTCCTGTAGGTTCTGCCATGCCAGGCAGGTCGATTTGAGAAAGGTAAGACAAAGCAGCAACTTAAGGTCTGAGGGTGAAGTCAAACTACTGACTGTAGAGGGATGTGACAGCAATAAGGTGTTTCCCTCGGACAACCAGCATCTGCAGCGATGCTGCCTTCCCACAAGGAGGGTTGGGGTTAGAAAAGGTCGACCCTAAAAATGTCACACCTCACCTTACCTCACGGATTTCCGTCTCCGGCGGTAAGGCTTTTTGAAGAACATAGCTAACACATTAAAAACCTTCCACGAAAATGCCGTGCGCGACCGGCCTCAAGCAGTTGTCCCTTGGGCTCTGCGGTCACGCCCCCAAGTCGTTAAGACCAACACTAATCCGGTTTCCTTTTCAGGTTCCCCAAGAAATACCCTTCTACGGTGTGGGCAGCCGGGAAGTGATATCAACCCTCATACCCGTAACAGCACACGGGACCAAGTTGGTCACATTCAAATCCTTCCTACACCTCCTAATACCTCTCTTATCTCCATGACTAACCCTCCTCACGTCTCTTTATCACCTCGCTCCGCTAGGGCAAACGATTCGAGTACGCGAAAGGTTATTCCTGATCTCCTGAAACCACGCTTTCAACGTCCGAATACTGCCGAATGGGACAACAAGCTTCCTTAGCTAGGACTTTAAAATCTTGCGCCATCGATGTGTGCTGCGTCTCCGAGACGCGCATACAAGATCCAAGTAGCGTCATTCATTTGACCTCAGCATATCAAAATAAAGAACCAATTCGATTCACGCTTCGTGTATCTGAAAGCCCTGATGCTGCTTGCCGTGGCCTCGCTGGCGTAGGTATAGCATTGAGTCCTAGGGCAGAACTAGCTCTCTTAGAGTGGATCCCAGTAGACAGTCGTTTGTGCGCTGTCCGACTAAACGGAACAGTAAGGAGTCGGAAAGATAGGGACACTCGTCGTTGCCTCTTCGTCGTCTCTGCCTACTCTCCCACTGATTGCAGCTCAGATGATGTAAAAGATGAGTTTTACAGAAAGCTTTCCGACCTTCTCCAAAAGGTTCAGGCACTCTGTTGTAGTAATAGTGGCCGGTGACTTTAATGCTCAAGTAGGTAAACTAAGCGAAAGGGAAAGACACCTGGGTGGATCTTATAGTTTCGTGGCTCAGAGAACAGGTAATGGCGACCGTATGCTGCAGCTATGCTCAGATAACCGCCTCTTTCTTGCAAATACTAACTTTAAGCATAAGATAAACATCTTTTGACATGACGACCCCCTAATTCGTCCCAACGTTGGACCCAAATAGATCACACCGCCATTACTTACATCCATCAGAGCTGTTTCCAGAATGTCGTCGACGGCAAAGTTGAAGAGAAATGGTGAGATTGGGCAACCCTGTCTAACCCAACTGCTTGAATGAAACAATGGAGAAAGGTGGTTGTATACCCTCACTCTACCCGAGGTGTTTGTGTATAGGGCTCTTAAGATGTTAATAAACTTCTCAGACATACCCTTCTTCAATCGACAATCCCAGAAAACAGTCCTGTCCAACGAATCGAAGGCAGCCCTGATGTCAAGAAATACTACGATTGTTGGCCTTTGATAAGTATGGCAGTGTTCTAACATTTGGTGGAGGGTGTAGATATGATCAATACATCCTCGATCAGCCTGCTCCTTGCGAGTCAATCTTTCTCGGGTTTTGAACAACCTACGAAGTATGACGGAAGCCAATAGCTTGGACGCAATCGGATGTAGACTTATCCCCCGATAGTTGTTACAGGAACAGTGTGAACCCTTTTTAAAGATAGAGACAACTATCGACTCATTCCATGACGTTGGTACACTCTCTAATTCCCAAATCTTTGTAAACAACCTCGTCAATTCCTTAGTCAAAAAGTCACCACCATCTTTAAAAAGGGCCGGAGGTAAGTCATCTGGGCCTGGTGATTTGTATCGCTACAAGAGTTGGAGTTCCTTGCGGACTTCGGCCTCATTTAGTGGATCAGTCGTCACCGGCCATAGAGGGCAGGCCAGTCTGACCGATGTTGCCGGAGCAGCAGGCCAGTTGAACTGCCCTTCGAAGAATTCTGCCCATCGTCCAAGACGTCGATGGATGTTAGTGATTGGCATCCCGTCATCCTCACAGATTGCTACACTCGCATCAGACTTCTTGCTGCCAGTGGCTCGGATGAGTTGGAAGAGCTTCCGGCAGTTACCAGATGCGGCTGCTGCTTCCAGCTCATTAGCACGTTCCGACCACCAGGCTTCTCGGTCCTTACGCAAGCCTTGAAGTTGCAACTAATGCTCATCTACACTTTTCGGTGGAACGGTAACTAGCCTAGAAGCTAGCTCGGTTCGATATTTGGTTGCCGCAAGCGGCTTCGCGAAACGTCCCGCTTATAAGCACTGGGTTTCTTCAGCCTCCTTACAACTCATCGAAGCCCGACGGTCTACTCCGGGTGACCGTGAGTTTGACCACAGACGAAGGATGTTACGTAATGAAATCGGGCAAACCTTGCGTAAGGACCGAGAAGCCTGGTGGTCGGAGCGTGCTAATGAGCTGGAAGCAGCAGCCGCATCTGGTAACTACCGGAAGCTCTTCCAACTCATCCGAGCCACTGGCAACAAGAAGTTTTGTGTGAGCGAAACAATCTGTGAGGATGACTGATTGTGCCAGTCTATAAGAAAGGACAAATTCCTCTTGTGACAATCAGAGAGGAATCAGTTTGACTAATATAGTGTCTAAAATATTAGCCACAATAATACTTCGACGCCTAACTAAAGCTCGTGAAGAGCAGACTAGAGGAAACCAGGCTGGTATTCGACCTGGACGTGGTTGTATAGACCAGATATTCACACTACGTCAGGTCCTAGAACATAGACACACATTCAGACGCCCCACAATCTTAGTATTTTTCGACCTTAAGGCGGCATTTGACTCTGTTGATCATGAGGTTCTATGGCAGTGTTTGTCACTGAAAAGAGTACCAAAGAAGTACATTAACCTTATAAAGGCTATCTACTCGGACACAAATGTTTGAGTGAGAACTTATGGAGACCTGTCATCAGAATTGATCACCTCTAATGATGTTCTTCAGCGCTGTCTACTCTCTCCATTCTTGTTTAACTTTGTCGTTGACATGCTTTTAGAGATGACGCTTTCTTCATCTAAATTTCCAGGGGTTAAACTTCTACCAGGAGATTCACTTTCTTACTTAGAATATGCCGATGACATAGTTCTGTTTGGTGACGACGCTGACAAAATGCAGAGTCTTCTGACCACTCTAAGCAACAATGCAAGCATGTTCGGCATGCGATTCTCCCCCTCGAAATGCAAAATGTTGCTTCAGGATTGGGTTACATTGACACCCGAACTAATGATAGGGAGTGAAGTAATTGAGCGTGTCGATCGCTTCACTTATCTGATCAGCCCTTGTGGTCTGGTGTGTGACGAAATCTCAGCACAGATACAGAAGGCTCGACTAGCTTTTGCCAACTTGCGTCATTTATGGCGTAGGCGAGATATCCGTCTATCAACCAAAGGACGTGTTTACTGTGCAGCAGTTCGTTCCGTCCTACTTTATGGCAATGAAATATGGCCGGTAAGAGTAGAGGATATTCGTAGGTTACTAGTATTCGATCATAGGTGTTTCCGAAACATTGCTCGTATATCCTAGGACCATCAAGTAAATAACGCAGTTGTTAGGAAACGAGTACTAGGTAAGGATGACAAATCGATTGATGACGTAATGGGACACGTGTTACGTATGCCCAACCATCGACTGCCCCGACGTGCGATGTTCAGTGATATAGGAGTAGGTTGGAAGAAAGCTAGGGGTGGCCAGACCAAAACATGGCACGAATCCATGAAGTCACTGATAGGTGGACTGAGCCATGTTGGTAGGTGTAGACTACCTAGTTGGGATCCGCGAGACGATAGCAACCGATGGTTTGAGACCTTGAATGACATGGCTCAAAATCGTTTGCAATGGCGTAGGTGCATCTTCTCTTTGTGTTCTCCCAAATTCTAATCTTCTGAATTCTTCATGTTACATTTTTCCTCTATCCAAATTTATTTTACTGTACTATACTCCTTGAATAACATCTTCAAATCCTAACCTTACCGATTACTGCTTATACTCTTACTACCTCTACCACTATGGGATTTGAATCGATAACTGCATCTCTGTGCTAATGTGGTATGGCAACTCGGACTGATGTACGTACGTACAAAGTTCTACGTTGTTACTGACTGACTGAGGTATTTCTCTGTTTTGAACATGCTTGAGTTCGCTTTAAGGTTGTCATGTGTTATTTCATGAAGATCAAGTGATCAACACACTCGGATGTCTTAAATATTATTTAAGCATAGTGTCACAAACTCTTCTCTCGTCGTTCACTATGTTTTTTTTAACCAGTTCCCTACTACTTTTTTCACTTGATATAGTGTGATAATACAATAGTATATACTTGATATTTCGAGTAACATGTGTTTTTTATTCTCTTTAAAACCGAATCTTTCTAACTTGATTGTTTCCACTCATGGGTTTTATAACTGCAAAATCCGTTTACTTGCATATGATTACTGCTGGGAAATGAATGGAATTTTGGTGACAGGTTTGCTCTTTTCCGGAACGGTTATTATTATGTCATATATTCTTGCACATAATTAAAGTGTTGACAGTCTCTTAGTCTTCATTTTTGTATACCATTTTGAAGTTTATCGTTCATAATCCGAATACGTTCCGATTATTGATTATTTAACTGAACTATTTTGGCTAGGTTGTTGTATTTCTTTCAGTTATTGACCTAAGTTTCCAAATTTATCTCTTAGGCTTTTAATTGGAATACCTGTTTTTTCTGATAAAATATTGGGATTGATACAGTTGGCTTGTTTTAGGTTGGCCAAAATGCTACACTCTTTTCATTGATGAAGTGTGTTTGTATGATTAGGATGTCCTTATTTATGTTAGCTACTTCTGTGCAACGTTCTATATCATTCTATTTGCCTTTCCATATCATAGATGGGAGTATTAGAATTTCAGATAAATATATCAATAATATTCTACCGTTTTGTATTAGAAATTGAGTGAAATAAATCAGGAAATTATTCAATCTTATGTTGCCATATTGACAGTAAATTTGAAGTTGTTTTCCCTTTCTACAGATTACAGATTTCGGTGGAGGAATGGCTTTAAATATGGTCGAAAAAACGTTTCGATACAATTATACAACAGCTGTTCATTCTGCAAATCTACATCCTACTGTACTAAATTTTGAGAATAACTATTCAACAATTCAATCAGCCAGTCAAGTTACAGTAAATGATCGAATAACATGTGAAGTTGAACCAGAACGTAATGCCTGTTTATCTATTGCTGGAAGAGGACATGGTTTACCATTAAGTAGACTGTATGCTAGATATTTAGGTGGTAATTTAAAATTGCATTCTATTGAAGGTGTAGGTACATCAGTATTGATTTACTTAAAAAGACAGTCACAAGATGCTTATGAATTGATTCCACTATTTAATCATACATCAAAATCTTTTTATGAAAATAGTATACAACAACGTGATTGGGTTTCTAATTCTCAGAGAACTTTACTTGAACCATCTACAACACCTTAATGATGGGTCATCCTTTTCTTTATCATCTTGTTGTATTTGTTACTTATCTACTTTCTTATTCCTTTTTTTGGAAGACAGTCTATCTTGCCATTTTCAAAATAATATGAAACAATTAAATTGTGTCTTTCACATGTTGTATTTTATTGTTATCATGTATATGCCCTTATCTGTGTATGCATTTACTGAAAATTGCAAAACAGAATGGAAAAAATGAAAGGAAACAAAAAAATACCAAGGAATTAACCCTATTTACTGCTTATATTTTTAATGCATTCTTTTTGTTTGTGTATGTTGTGTATCCTTTGTTTACTTTTTGTCTTTTAATGCTCTGACTGATTTTATTTGGATGGTCAAATAAGAATAATAATGTATACATAATTTTTGGTATGGTCCATTCCATACAATAGAATTTTTTGTCTTCACCTATGGAACTCGGTTTAATAAACCATTCCTCATGTTGCAACTGAACCGTGGTTGAAAGGTGTACACTTAGTCACCACCACTACTTTTTGTACATCACCTAAGTGTTTGTTTAATTCGATCATATAATAAACCATCTGTACCGTTAACAATAATGAAACCATAAATAAGCATCATTCTGTTGTACAACTACAAATAATTTCCTATCGTAAGCTACCTTTTCATCACACAAACTGCACTCCTTGGTAAGGATATTTTCCATTAGATTTTTTCGAAAGACTTAACGATTGGTAGACATTGATAATGATTGTTTTAGATTGTATTTCTTTACAACGATTCAAAAATAATATTTTGTTGCCCGAGTTTTCCACATTTGTAAAACGAAGGATAAATAACCTGAAAATAAAGAGAACTTTCATTTGTTGACAACAAGTATAGTTAAAGTGACTGGTTTTATAAACTGCAAGCTGACAGTAATTAGTCGTTGTCTACGTCCTTGATCTTACGTATTTTCATTTTGATCTTTTTAGTCAATTAGGTCATAGCTGAGATGCTGTGGGTTTTTTAATGTAACTTCATAAGTCTCGAGAGATTCTAGTAGTTGTACTTTTAGTTGACGTCTCTCAGTTACCCGACGTGGCTGCGATCCGATTTTAGACAGCTATCTGTGGCAGTAAATCTGTAAAATTCATTATCTTAGGAATTAAAAGTAATGTGGGACTCGATGTGATATTGTATATTTAGTTAATTAATGAAAGTATATACTAAGTAACCACTGATTAAAGGTAAATATAAGAAGGGGTGTTTATTACGAAGTAGAGAGGATGGAAAGCGAATGTCTCGCGCCTTAATCAGGTTGGTGGGTACGGAAGATCCTCTAACGAAGTTGGAAAGTCCTGGTTTAAAATTAGTAGTCTTGAGTGTGATTCGGAACCACTAGTGCGCATAGATTCCAGGATCCTGAAGAAACAAATGGTGTATGAACCTTCTGGTGGTTGCTGACTACTATGGGGCCGTATTTCCTAACATCATTGCTTTGTATATTGGACCTCTAGGTCAAAGGCCCGGATGGAATTTATGGTGAGTCCTAGCAACCGTTAATTGATCTCCAGAAAGTGCATTCGACATATATTGTAGTAGTACTACTGACCGGAGATTTGAATGAGCATGTTGGGCGTCTAGACACAGAAGAGTTATTTGGATGGCCAATTGGGACTTATTGATCGTAGGTCAGATAACGGTGACCGTTTACCGAAACTTGGCGTAAACTGCAACCTGTTTCTGGCTAGCACTAACTATCAGCACAGTCATCGTCGATATGCTATCTGGTGTCCTCCCTAAGCATTTCATATCTGGACTCAGATTGATCTCATTTCAATCAGCTACCTCTGTCATAATTGTGTACATGACTGCTGCTTCTTTTGGAGTACTTATCTTGATTTTGATCATGCCCTTGTTTGGGCTAGCCTTATCTTAGGTTTCAATGGCTAATAAATTCATCTCTCCAAACTGATCGATTTCAGCAAGTTAGCTGCAATTTCTGTTGTAACTAGATATCAAACCGAGCGAGGTTCAAGGCCAGCTATCAATCCAACGAAAAGTATGGATAAACATTGGGTGCAATTGCATGATGCAACAAAATGGCAAGTAAAGTCACCAGTGGGTTCGCGAAACATCCCTCTTATAATCACTGGGTTTCTACAGTCTCTTTACAACTCGTTGAAGCACATAGGTCTACTCTACCACAAACGAAGACTGTTACATAATGAAATTGTGCAAAGCTTACGTAAGAACCTAGAAACTCCGTGATCGAAGCGTGCCAATGAGTTGGAAGCAGCGGCTGCATCTGGTAACTTCCGGAATCTCTTCTAACTCATCCAAGTCACTGTCAGCAAAAAGGGCTACCCATAGCAGCACCATCACCTTCAAACGTGAACTGAACATTTGCAGTACGTAAGAAAATTAATTATTGCAACAATGATGACCGAATATGAAAAAAGAAGAAAATTGGTAGATATATAGTCACAAAGAGAATCTACAGTCTTAGTGACATTAAAGGAATACAAAGTCTTATCTTTAATATTAATTCAAACCATTTAGCTGGTTCATGTGTCGGTGAACCGCGCATATATAATATTGGTCGTAATGGACTAATAGGTTTATGAATTTTAAGCGATCCATATAAATTCGGGAGAACGGAACCAGAAGGTTTTAGCAAATTAAATTCCTGTTTGTTTATGACATTCATTTTAAGAAACTTTTGTAGATTGGACTTTACTCTGGATTCCAATTTTCTGACATTAATATCGCATGGAACGTCCCGCAGGAACTCACTATGATCACCAAGTATCGATAACATTTTTTCTTTATAATCACATTTAATAATAGTAATCACCCCTGAACCTTTGTCAAATCTGTGGATCGCATTATCTGAATTGCTTTCGAGGTTTTGTATAGCGGCGAAATGTTTAGAAGTCGAAATATTCCTGTATCTAATTTGGGGACCGTGAAAGTGGTGGGCACTATCAACCAATTTCGCTTATGTAGAGTGGTTTGAACAAGAGGGGTTCAACTGATCATAGAGATTTTCGAACTGAGCACTTATCGATAGATTAGAAATCTTAGCATACGCAACGGAGAAATTAAATCCGAGAGATAGGGCTTCTTTCTCAAATACGGAAAGTTTGACAGATGATAAATGTGTTACATAAATATCAGGGTTAAATTAAAATGAATTTTCATCCTTATCATCAATAATTGATTTATTCAGCTTTTGTTTAGTAGTGTAATTTGTTTTAGCAACCACTGTACTACAAAAGTTCATACATTTAATATGACATATTAGAGAAATATTCGATAATACACATGATGTATGAGTGGGAAGTTCAATTAATTTACTTATCATACCATTACATTTTTTCCTTGTGAAATCTCGTAAGCCGCAAAAGATTAGAAACATTTAGTTGCAATTTATTAGATCATAACGATTTATAAAATTGTCTGGGAAATGTGTGTATAGTGATGCAAGTCTTGTCAAACTCAAATTTTACATTTTCAGATGCAACTTTGCACTTCAGATTAGCAAGTTCATCTAACTGTTTAATGCAAGACGAAGAGAGTCTTTTCAAGAATTTAAAGCAATTAATCCCTTTTATAATTTTCGATAGAACAATGAGAAGACGGAATTGATCTGAAAAATCTCATGTATTTACGTTGTATATTTCGAACAATCTGGTCACATATACTTGTCTGCGCATTTTCTATGAAAATTAATAATGGTCAATTCAATGAAAGTTCAAGTAAAAAAGTAAACTTTCATTGAATTGACCATTATTAATTTTCATAGAAAATGCGCAGACAAGTATATGTGACCAGATTGTTCGAAATGTACAACGTAAATATTTTATTTTCTGTGGTACAAGCTGTATTGATTGAAATTCCAACTATACTACTATAATTATGCATTATTTCGGTTAATTATTATCTACTTTGAATAAACAATAAGTAGAAATGATAGATAATCAACTCACAGTTCCCATAGGATTTATTTTAAAACAATGTTTGGTTTTCTCCATTTAACTTTTGATAAAATGGAATTATTCAAGGTTGATATACTATAGCGTTTCTACGGCTGGATACAATACAACATGAAGAGAAATAAATATGTTTCAAGATATATTAAAATGTATATTGAGTGTGAAATAATACGTTGATAAGTAAGCGAGAACAATTTCTATTGATTTAGAAATGAGGTTTATTATTTTTTTGTTGTTGTATAAGCTAAACAATTTAAACAGGGATAGTTATTTCTGCATTTGAGAAAGTGAATCGACCAATGGAAGAGACTAAAGAAAAACAACAATTTACTACATTCTCAATAGTAAAAATGTAAGTCTGAAGGTCTGATAATTTCCACACAGACATGTTATTTATATTCTGACCAAATGAATGTTTTTTCTCAGAACTATGTTTTTCTCGATCCTCTTTAATTTTCAAAGTTTTCCACCAGAATGTACTTGATATAGGTATTGAGACTTTATCATAATTCTAATTATCAATGTACGGTATAATTTATGATTATATCTGTCATATTACATTTATATAAATTGAGACATCGCATAGTGTGAAACATTGTCATAGTCCATCATACACCAAAAGGAAAAAAAACAATGATCAAATAACAATACAAACTTAGTCCTTATTCCATCATCTAAAGTTATTATTCGCCAGTGGGCATCATGGTCCCACTTGATTAAGTTCACAGATAATGACTTTCCACTGGAACATCAAAAAATGCCTCAAAAAACTATTAAGAAATGATTTGAGATTCCGTCATAAATTTCTTAAAAGAAAAAAACGAACCTTAGCTACTTTGATCAGTAAACCTATTTATTATCAACAGATTTGATATAACATACCAACACATATCAAGTAACCATTTATATGTGAATATTTTCAGAGAATTCTAAACGTATGTTATGGATTAGGAGTCACATTAATTTTGGTAAATCTCCCTTACCATTTTCTACACTTCCACTTCACTTTAAAACTGTGAAAAACTTTTAAATTACATTTGCAATTCATTAAAACATGTAATCAACATAAAATTCTAAAACTCAGATTTCATATCTCATTAAATATTCCAACTACAATCCATAGTTACCAGTCTTAAAAAAACTAAAACATTCTGCTAGGTTTGAAGCTATCACGAGTTCACTTAGTATGCGAACGGAACAAAGACTTATGACCGTAGACCAATTAGCTAGCTATTTGATGCGTCCCAGCCCCTCTAACTGGAGGAAGAAGTCCAAGCTCGGAACGGGGAAGTATGTTCCGTAAGCCAGAAGCATGAGTGAATAATAACAGACACAAATGAAACTTAATTTACATACCTGCAAATATTTGCATCTTATATTTTTGGTATAAGACAAAAATATCAATAAACCAATGTGTTTCACCGTACAGAATGGAAATATAAAAAAGTACTTAGGTTGATTGCTACAAACTTTGTATCAAGTTACGTCGATTCATTCATGATTTATGACCGATGTCACATTTGTCGGGTCATTAGTCCATTAAAGGATTCTGTCGACTAAGTTTTAATGTAGCCATTATTCTGAGTGAATCGATAACACATGTACAATATTTTTATACTAAATGATCATCAGGAGACACTGAAGACACGTTCCTACTGATGAGCTCTAACGAACACATTGTCCAGATTATTATCCGATATTTAAGCATTCACTTGAAAACAAAAATCACAAAACTCTCAATAATAACGTTCAAATGAACTAAAGTCAACTGTTAACTATTCAAAACCTTCAACTACATCTCAAAATGAACTACATAGAAGCATTGAAAATTTGATAAATTGGTCGTTTGGAGTAACAAAATTCCGTGACGCCGGCAACCAACAATTCACATTTCATAATTCATCCAATCGACATAATATCGATGTTATGTTTCTGCTATTAAATTCACTTCCTGTATAATTGCATTCTGTACGACCAAAATCCACGACAAAAAACAGAATCTAATCTTGTTATTGTAAATGTATTTCGGAAGAGATAAATACATTAGTTATGTTCATATCATTTTGGTTTAATGAAGATTTTGGATAATGCAATGAGAATATAAATATTTTCAAAATTATCTGTAGAACTGTGTATACTAATGAAAATGAACAAATTGGCTGTGAGTGTTATTTTAAGACCGTTTCTAGCTGATACCATTTTGTCATGCGTCGAATTAAGGCATGTAGAATGGGATAGCACAACTGAACATTCTATGTTTTCAATTCAAACGTGTCGCGTAATCAGGTACAATGTAATGGTCGAGTAGTATGAATACCACAAATATTTCAAGGATGAACCATAACAGTGCAAGTTGTGTAACTTTATAAGCTGGGACAATAGTTTTTCTGGTAATCATCATATCATTCATTTCATACGTGCATTCGACTGACTATTATAACATATCAACCACATTCTACAAGTATTTGCAAATTAATCTATCACTATAGTTCAATTGTTAATAAATCATATAGAGATACGTTTGTGTGAAGAATGGGATTTATTCTAGTATTCGAATAGTCTATGACATTGAACAATTCGTATTCATTGGTAAATATTGGTCAATTGCTTGAAATAATTAGGTTGTGAATATCATATCAAAATTAAATTTGATAATGAGTGAAAAGATACATTGTCTACAGTTCACTGCTGTGAAACATATGAATTATTAAGCAGGTAAACTACATGCATTTATTTCACTGTCGGAAATAAATGTATG